AACAAATTAGGCGTGGGCACTTAAGGGCATTTGCATTCCTAATTATGACTTTGCTGGGACTTGAACTTCAGGTAATAATCAACTGGCATGATTAAATTAGTTTTGCCAACAGGGTCAAGCTGACCAGCAGCCAAACTTTCAGGGGTACCACTTGACTGTGCCCATTTTTCATTCCTGGTAAATAAGAAATCAACTAGGAATGATTAACAAAAGATGTATCACACTGATATCTTTCTATGGCTAGCCCATCACAAAATCCCTAGGGATATTAATTTTAACATCTGAAATCAACTCTATCTAGACGTACATCTTCATCTTCCTACACTGAATCTCTGAATCTCTAAATCCAAAGAAGAATAAGAGAAAGGGGTGGAGGACAGGAAAGTACAGTCCTCATTCATTCAGCCACGAATGTAAACTATCCTCATTAAATTAAAAAGATATTCTTGAATGGCAGTCAACAACTGAATAAACAGGAAGAAGGGTTTCATTCTGCTCAAGTGCAAATTTAAGAAAAAGCTTCTTTTGATCCTGCTGCAAGTACTAAAACCCATAGGTTTTAAAAATTCTGAAAATTAGAATTTATACACATTAATAAACTAATTTCAAGGGGCACCAGGGTGGCTCAATTGGTTGAGCGTTCAACTGTGGCTCAGGTCATGATCTCACGGTTCAGGAGTTTGAGTCCCACATCGGACACACTTATGTCAGCGTGGAGCTCACTTCAGATCCTGTCTCCCTGTCTCTTCAAAAATAAATAAAACATTAAAAAAAAAAAAACAATTTCAAGAGTTTAGTAAGCGCAGAAAAAAAAAAATCTTTAAATTGTGAGGTTTACGAGCTTTAGAATGAGCACAAGTTTGGGTTTTTACTCCTCCATAACTAAAACAAATTGTCCACAAATAATGCATCATCTTGGATTTTTCACAATCAAAACATTCAAGTCCTACCACTAAATTTCAGCAACTGGTTAACTTATAACTCACTATGGATAGCGATCTGACAGTTATCAGTAATCAGTGGTGAATGGACAACCTATGTAACAGGTAAAATAGAGTAAGATCCCCAAAATAAATACTTGACACTTGCTTTGTATAAAAGCATGAGCTTAAATATGCAAATAAAAACACTTAAAAATGAAGGGGTTTAATTTTATAAACTATCAGGTTCTCTTTCTGTTTGTTAAATTAATCCAATGTAGATAAAACATACTACATTTTAAAGTCACAGAATTTTATGTTGGGACACATGTCAGTACATGCCTGGGATATTATAAATTACTCAGTAAATATTTGTCACACGAATAAACTTCTCAAATTCCAATAAGCAAATGTCAAATTTAGCTCCGGAAGTACCTAAGGCAAGCTTTATGAATGATGATGTGTAAAGCTCAATTCGAGGGATGTTACCCAGTGGTATACTCTTAACTTGTAGTTTTAAACTTATTTTCTAGGGAAATAAGATACAAAAATCTTTAGACCATGATGATGGCCAGGTGCAAAGAGATCTTCAAACATATTCATTTGTACGTAGTATGATTGCCAAATATTAAGGATCTCAAGCTCACAAGTGCTATTTTAAGGCTCAGTAAAATAGAAAATTAAACACTTTTAAGCTATACTGACCATAACTTATAATGCCTAAAGTAGTTATTCACAAAAAAGGTACTCAAGAAATGTCACCTTAGGATTTCAAGCATACTTTGTGAATTCTTCCTTAAAGGAACTTGTCCACTGAATTGTTTACATGTTCCTTAATTTTATATGGCCACCTCCACCAAGTGAAAGTGCTAAAAGTAAATCTCCATTTTAAAACACTTGCCAGGAAGATAAGCTGAAAGAGACAGAAGTGCTTTAATGTATACCCATTGGTATTCTAAGTGAGATACTTCATCAAAAATGAGACCAAGATAACAAAACGTCACAACATTAAACCTCTTCACATTTTGTGAAATAATACATAACAAATTATAATTTAGCATCCCTGATCTTCAGAAGAATTAAGAAAAGAGGTAGAAAACTTTTATCTGGAAGATCTCATAGTGAAGCTAATTTTAGAGGGTGTGCCTTACAGGTTAGCCCACCAAGCAAAAGAGTACACATCTAGTTATTAGGAAGCAGAGTTCCGAGAAAAGCTGAATAAGGCAAGGATTTAAAAACTGTCATATTTTGGAAGTGAGACAAATTCGTTCAACGTTACTATCCCAGCTACTTTAAAACTCTTCAAGAAAAGTCAAAGTAAAAGATAGGAGATAAGCAAAGTGCTAATTTGCAGAAACATGAAGTTATTCAAAAGAGCATTAGTGGCCAGATAAGGCTTGCATGAAAAGAAATGCTGTTTAAGTAAGAAAAGATCTCACAAAAACCAAATGAAAGCATAGCATTATCACGTTAGAGGAAGATGGTTTACAAGTTGGAGAAAGAGCTGAGGAAAGTGAATCCCTCCAGATAAATCATTAAAACAAAACAAAACCAAGCACTCAAAATGTAAGAAACAAATAAATACCCTGCTTAATTTAAACTTTTTATCCAATGTGACAAACATCAATAAATGAGTTGCACTAAAACACGAGGCAAACGGTCTTTTAAAGCTTTAGTAAGCTGCTCAGGCACCTTCTCCCTCATACATTCTACTCTAACACACTAGAAATCTTAAATTGGGCCCTATTAGTTCCTTAGGTAACATTCTCAAGGAACGGACTCATCCCTGGAAAAATTGCTTATAATGTACTTATAACTGGCTAAGTACACATTTATAAAGTCTACCAAATTGCAATATAAAATCAGTTTTGACAACTCTGAGTATCTTCATGTGAGGAATCAATTCATAATTTAGAAATTATTAAGTCAGAGTTTTTAAAAGGACTCGATTATGGAGACACCGTGGTTCATGTCCAGTGGCCTCACGTGAGGCCGTCCGCATTACCCGAAATATGCAGTTGTTTTCTTCTACAAGTTAAAGCTGCTGGGCGCTAGTTTATAATACTGGGACTCAATCTTCAGGTTAGTGTCGGTAGGTGGCAAGGACCACCTCGTCTGTCGCCCCAGCAGACAAAGGGCACGTATCACCACTGTAGACACACATCTGTAAACCTGCACACTCATTTTAATCTTAACAAGGAATTTCAGTGTCTTAGTGGTTTTAAGTTAAAAAGATGGTTCCAACATTGTGTTCTTTTGTTCTGTAGGGTTACGAATAGCTTATTGGAAAACCCAGAGCCTTCTGGATCTGTGAGGTAGTAAGCGGCAGTCCTCCTCATGCATAGATCACACTTCTCCGAAGTTGGTATGGCCTGTCTCCTTGGCATGGTCCCTTGCTTCCGCTTGTCCAGTTAATCCCTTCTGACATACCATGCATCTCAGGGTGAAGCGGTTTACATCGGTGAACTGTCTCTTTCTTCTAGCTTCGTCTGCTAATTCTAGTGCTTGTACAAGAACAATGTCATCGTTAGAGGAGAAAATGGTCAGAGGCGGGGTGTCTGGGTCAGGGAAGACACGCTGAAGCGGGTCATAGTGGATGCCATCATAAATAAGCAGGACCCTTTTGGTGTATCCCGCATCTTCCCCAAAACGGTCAATTCTTACTGTCTGTGTATCCACTACACAGATTTCGCACTGGTAGAATTTAGACAGAATGGATATCTCAATAGCTCCTCCCCAAGTGTCATCCCTTTTGATCCAGTCACAGTACTCTTGGTTTGTTTTTCCCAGTATCGCCTCACTATAGAAGCCGGGATCGCTTGCTACAATTTGTGCTATGAGGCGTCTCATCTCAGGGGCGCAAGCTGGATTCAGGACTCCTCCTTCTACCACATAGTAGACGCTGGTAAAGAGGCAAGAGTTGTCTGCTGGGACCACAGTTCTGCTAAGCACAGGCAAAGTTTCCCTGACGTAACTAGGAGCACCATGTTTTGTAAATGTAGGTGAAGCTTTGGGCCTGATTTGGTCTTCTTCAACGATCAGCATGTCGCCTGTTAAAAATAAAACAAATCCAGAACTGCAGAGGTATTACAGATGAAACTGGCTGTTCACTAGCCAAGTTTGTAAATTACCAACAGGAAGAGTATAAGCGTATAAACTGGGTTATGAGGGAGAATACAGCTTTGCAAACAAGTAATCAGTGACGCTTCTTGTTCAGTCTTCGTAAAGACGGAAGCAGAACAGAGAGGAAACCATTTTAGGCTGCATTCCAATTTGGTGAAGGAGCCCTGGTTATACACCTTTATAATTACATGAAAAGAGACATTTCAAGAACAAAATTTCCTTATGCTCCCTCGCTGCATTTTAAAAGCACGTTATCTTCCAAAAGGTGTTCGCCCTAGATTAGGCCACTAGGGGGTTCTTGTCCTTCTGAAGCTTTTTTTTTTTTTTTTTATCTACCCAGTTTAGTGTTTACAGGATGCCTGATACAACAGCGGAAAGCTTTTAATGATCAATATTGCTGTTCAAGTTTTAGTAGTGGACAAAAATAACTGCTGTTGTTTAGAATGTGAAAGGGCCTTCAGGAGATGTGTAAAAGCATATCCTAAGATGAGTATACCTAGCTATTCGTGAAGGTGACTGTAAAAACCAACCCGGAAAGCAAAAAAAGAAAAGTATGCTGCATCCTTCAGATCTATCTTTTTTTCAGAGATAGAAGGGATAAAGCCATCAGGATGGAGAATATAGATTTTTTTTTAGAGTTTTGTGGACGCATAAAAAACAAAATGAATGAGACGTTTTTCAAGACAAACCAGAAACCAGATTGAGGAAGGGGGGACCCCGAGGTTCTGGGCTTCTTACATGGGTTGGGCCCTATCTCCCTCTTTCAACCATATATGTAGTCCAAGACACTTGCCCCGGCCTCCGTCAGGGTTCTCCGTTCTCTCATCTATCCTTAGTCCTCTCCTCAAAACCCCCAACTGACACACAGCCACCTTGCCTTGACCAGTTCTGAGTTCTCCCCCACGCCCCTCTCCGTCCTCCCAGGACTTTCCCTGGCCCCAACTGCGACTCCCTTACCTGACTGGATGGGCAAATCCCCAAGAATGGTATCCTCGTTGCTGAGATCCAGGCATTCGGGCGGGTATCCTACGAGGATTCGCTGACAGCCGGGGGCGATCCCGGTGATGGCGGCAATTTGGCCCTGGAGTTCCCGCACCCGGGTCCGGCTGGACAACCCCTGCAAAACATGGGTCCCGTCCTTGGCCTTGCAGCGGAGCCGCCACATCGTGTCGGTCCGGCTGCCCGGAGGCCAGACACCCGCGGGGCCAGCTTTGGTCCCGGCAGCAGGTTGGTAGACGCCGCCGGGGCAACAAGCCGCCGGGCGGACTCCAAAATGGCTACCCTTTGCAGGGCCAAACATCGCGAGAAATAGCTGGTGGCTATAGATCTCGCGATACTTTGGTGTAGCGTAAGCTTTAGCCCTTTAAGACACGCGAACTCTCTTAAAGTGACAACTAATTCTCTGCCTCCAACCCCGCAGGAGCCAACGGATGAAGATTTATCCGTATTCGTCCAGTACAAGTGGCTTTGCTACCTGTCGAACGAGTGAGGTGCCCTTGCGTTGGCAGCATATATGCTCAAGGAAAGAGGGCGGAGGAAGGAGTTCCTGAATCGAGTACATTGGAATGTAACCTTGCCCTTAGTGAGGTCGGAAATTATTAAATTGGGGTTTCCAAACTACACCGGGAGAAATAGAGTCATAGTTCAGAACGCAAATGAATACCAAGAATGGTCAGTGAGTCAAAATACCTGTCAAAAAACAATCAGACACTCGTGACGAGGCTCGTGGCTGCAGCAAACATTGACTCATTGAGGTGAAGGGAGCCGGACGACTGGCCTGGCCACCGTGACGCTGTAACTTTGAAAACATCCATTTGCCACATCAGAAAGCGCAGTGTGAGGTCAGCATCTGGGCCTAGAACAAGTGCTACACATGGGTGGTAGCAGTTTAAGGAGGAGGAACGATGAGGACTAATGTGTCATTTGGATTCCAGTTCAGGCTCTGGGCATATAGATATGAAGACGGCTCCATTCCTGCCTTCGGTATTACAAGTGCTCTCTGTAATCAGGAGAGAGGGTGGGGTGTAAAGGGGCACATAATCGCTGAATTGCACAGCCACGTGATAATGCTAGATTATGTGACCTTTGCCAACCCTGTGTCCCTACAACCAAGGACTGTGCCTCAGAAACAAGCGTTCGATAAACACTTGATGCATAAAGACAGGGTTGTATTGGTACAGATAAGGCAGCTATAACATACTGGGAGTTATAAAAAGCTTCAAAAAGGAGGCACTAGTTGAGCTATTTTGAAGGATGAATTTTATTCCTAGGAATAAAGACCTCTCTGAATTTATCTCCTTACCAAGAGATCTATATTCCTTGTTCTTTTTCCATCCTGGATCCGAAGCAGCACGCCCTAGCCTGCGGAGAGTGGGTTTATCAACAGAATCAAGCCTCAGAAGGGCATGGGGGCAAATGTGAAAAGTTCGCTTGAAATGTACAAACTCACCTCTATAAAAACCTATACCTCCGAATAAGTTATAGGGAGGCTTTGCCTCTTTTCACTTCGGTGACCTACTATTTTTTCTGGAGCAATTTTTTTCTTTCGTTCTTCAAGACAACCAGAACAGATGGTCTAGCGTAGGAGGCAAAAAGGGGAATGAAAGCGGCGATGAGACCACTGGAGTTTGTGGAAGGTCCAGGGAAGCTCCTGGTTCAGCAATGAGAGTAGGAGAGCTGATTTTCTTAGGTCACAGTGCCTGGCCTATGGGAAGGATATACAAACATCCTACGGTGAAATCAGCTCAAGTACGGTGGCAGCTTACTTTATCAAAGCACCTCCTAAAGTTTACGTTCCAGTTTACGGATCTAAGCAAGGTCCCTCTGGAATTGAGGGAGGAAAGTGTTAATCTCGGGTTTCCCAGTCACCAAAGAGTCACATCCTCTGAAGACGTGGGCTCCGCTTACTCTCGCGAGAATATGAAAAAAAAAAAGACTTTTTTATTAGCCCCGCCCCCAGCCCTATGAGTTGCCTAGCAACGATGCAACCAACCTCCGCAGTGCGAGGAAACTTGGGAGCTAGCGATCTTTCGGCTTTACAGTTTCAACCGCCTTCAGGAGCCGACGTCAAGGATTAGGATTTGAGCCCGCCCCCTGCAGCCTGCGGGCGCCGGATTGGTCGATGCTCCTCTCCAGGTGAGGACCGACGCTAGGGTGGAGGTGCCAGACCGGGGCACGTGATTCGCCGGCTACCGAGGTCCCGGGACCCGGGCCACACTCTCCCGGCTCGCGTCCGCAGCGTAGCAGGGAAAGTGCCGGGGCCAGTGCCGGGAGGGAGCTTAGGAGGGCTCATAGGGTGAGCGACAACTGTACAGCGCCCGTGAGGGCCTGGGCGTGCGGGAGGAGGGGGGCTGCGTACACCCGGATGAGGTGCCGGACGGTGCTGCCTTCCCGTTTCGGGGAAGTGCTGGCACTGCTGAAAGTGCGGACGTTCAGGGACCGGGAGGCGCGGCTTGTGTTGGGGTTGGAGGATCTGTGTGGTCGGTGGAAGAGCAGTGCAAGGTCCTCGAAGCAACAGGACTTTCGGTCCTCACGAGCCCCTTGTCAGGGAGTGGGGGCGTGAGTACGAGGCTATCCCACCCCAGTTAGAGTTTTATTCAGCAGGTGACCTTGGGGAAGTCATTTATCACCTCTTTACGCCCCCGTGTTCCTTATATAGACTGCGTCCCGAGGGATGGATGGGAAGAGGGTGTGGAGCAAGGGCTTGGCGAATGGGAACACCGGAGGAGAAATGGTGACGTGCTAGGGTTGTCTCGGGGTCCAGTTAGTTTTCTTTAAGGGAACATGTTTGAGATTTCCCCACTTCTCCCATTTTTTTCAGGGCTGAATCCTGCCATTGGACTGCAGTGAATTTATGATAATGAACTGGATCTATTTGCAAGCCACCTCACCCCCAACATCTGTCACTACTCCCCCTAGATTTTTTTTTTAATGTTTATTTATTTTTGACGGGGGGGGGGGGGACACCGGATCTGAATCAGGCTCCGGGATCTGAGCTGTCGGCACAGAGCCCTAGGCAGGACTTGAACTCACCAACTGTGAGATCCTGACCTGAGCCCAAGTGGGTCACTTAACCAACTGAGCCACCCAGGCGCCCCTACTTTCCAGATTCTTAGAATCTGAGGTCAGGAAGAAACTTGGATAAGCCACTGACTGATTAAACTTTTTCAACCTGTAAAATGGAGGAAAGAAACAATGGTGGGAAAATATGCCTTATTGAAGGCTTATTAGAAGGATTGAATTTATGTGAATGTAAACCCCTAAGTCAGCATTTAACATGGAAGGTTCTAGTGCAACTGAGTTTACAAATGAGGAAACAGGGCTAGGAAGGACTTCTCCAAAGCTGTGTAGCTATTAACTGGGAGCAAGAGGTTCTGGAGTTGACTCTTGGCCCAGAGTTCTTTCACATATGCTGCCCCTGTGTTCTTCACTGAGGGTTTTGAGCGATGTCTCCTTCCTTCCCTTCCTTACATTCCTTTTGTCCCTTCCAGACATCTGAGGAGCTGCCATGTCCGGGAATTTTGCATCTTCCTCAGAGCAGAACAACAACAGCTATGAAACCAAAACCGCCAGTCTTCGAATGTCAGAGAAGAAATGTTGTGAGTTTGGGGAAGGAGGAGGGGCTGCTCCCTCCCAGGATCTTATCTTGGGAATATAGTTGTAATCCTGGACTTTAATGCTAGGTAGGAGTGAGAGAGAATTCTTTGACATGGGAATTTAAAACCAAGTCTACAAGGGGGAATTTCTTGTCTGAAACAAGTAGACCCAGTGAAATATCTGTCACAGGGGCTAGACTGCTGGTATTTCTCCACATTTTATTACCGCTTTCTTTAACTGCCTCCTGGGGCGAGGAGGATCTGCACACTTGATTGATGTTGAAAGTTACACAGGCAAGGCCGGGTGGCAGGTGCAGGGATTACTTAGGGCTGATTCTGTTAACAGTTTCCCTTTATTTTGGGGGCTAAGGTTTGTGAGGATGCCACTCGCTGCAGATTGCAGGCTAGAGCCAGTGGTAGTTCATTTTGACTGGTCCTAGGGGAGTCAGCCCTGACATCTGGCTTCTCACTATGACTCGGGCACCCTGCTTTCCCACAGGGTTAGCCTTTGCACTTTGCAAACTATGTTTCACTCCTCTGGGGACAGGTGTTGCCGGAGTGTTTCCATGCTAGTTGTTTAGACAGACAACAGGTGGGTTTGCAGAGAAACAAAGCATCATTTCTTCTCCCCATGCATCTGCATTCCTAACCATCATCGTAGACTCAGTGGTCCAAAAGGTCCCAGGCATCTGGCCCCTCCAGGTTCCGGGGAACCTCAAGGAATGCTAACCCTTGCCTTTGCTTCCAGATGCCCCTTTCCTTTGGAGCCCTGCCAGTCAGTTCTCACTTCATTGGTTATATAAGTCAGCAGGTGGAAATAACAGCCAACCAGCCTGAGACCTGGAATCATCCCATGGTCAAAGCTTTCCCCCAAGTCTCGGCCTCGATGTCATGTCCTTGTCAGTCTCATGATTAAGGATGATGATCTCTTTTCGTCTAGCACTGCTGAAGCTTGGTGGGGGTTGTCCTGCCACAGAGGCAGCTTGTTTGGATGTGACTCTGGGGTTGGCACATCTCTACGATTAGGGTCTCCATTCTCTGCCAGAGCAGGAAGCCTGGTACTGAGGGCAAATAACCCATGGGAGATAACTCATATAGTTTGAGTGCATCCCTTGGGGTCAGACTGCCTGGGTTTGAATCCTGGTTTTACAGCTGTGTGTCCTTGAACATGATGCTTATCCTCTCTGTGCCTTAGTTTGCTTATTTATAAAATATGAATAATATCTCCTCCTACATACCCCTTGACATTGAAAGCTGTTTCAATGCTGAAATTGCTGAAATTCAATGCTGAATGTTGTGTGAGTTCAATGAGTATATATAAGATAGTAGTTACAAGAGTGTTTCTATAGCTGAAGTATGTTAGTTTTCACTGGTGACTACTTTCATTGCATATAAGTTGAAAATGCTGTGCTGGGAGCTGTCTATCTGAAAGAGCCCTGTGAAGAATTAGATTTTCAGTAAAGAATGCTTTCTCCTCTTGCCTGACAATACCGTAACCCGGATTTGGGGGTGTGGGATGCACATCTTAAAGAGAGGTGCACACGTGTTGTTTGGACACGTGATCCAGAAGCGTACAAGAGCTGGTGGGGGCTTGGGCTGCACAGTGCCTGGTGTCAGCCTTCTGGCTCGGCTTTTTTCTCCACAGAAACCTGCTACCTGCCTTTCCAGCTCTTCTGCAGTTTTTCTGCCTTCAGGGCTCTCGATAGTCAAGGAGGCAGTGTTCCCAGGTCTCTTTTCTATCCTCTAGACTCTAATTCCTGCTCTGGGCTCTGCTTTCTCCTTTCCAAGCTCCACCTTCTTCTCCCCCAATGGAAACATCTGGGCTGTCCTGATGCTGCCATCATTCATTTGCCCCCTTTTTCTTCTCCTCTTGTGGGTTGGACTGGGAGACAGCTGCAGCCGTAGTCAAAGGGGAAACACACATGACGATTTGTGTTAAGTTTATTTCCTTTTCTTCTGTTACTTGCCTGTGTCTGGGAGCAGGTCTCCCCTCCTGCTTAGTGCCTGCACCCTGCAGTTGCTCTGTTAATAGGTCAGGCCTATCCCCTTGCTGCCAATTACACCTGTGTTGGCTGGCTCGCTCGGGGATGTGCCTGAGCTGGGGGACTGGAGAGTGACTTTAGGGAGCCACTGCCTCCAAAGGAGCATTGTCCTGGAACTTCAGCGGCTCAGGGATGGGGACAACAGGCGGTTGCTGGCTGAGGTGCCTTTAAGGTGCTCAGATGACTGGTTTCAGGGCATCTTAAAGGCACCTCAGGAATGAGGCTGGTTGGGGATAGGGATGAGTGTGTATGTACATGCTTTTCTTTGTTTCTTTCATTCTTTGATATTTTGAGTAGGTCTGGAACAGACCAGTTTCCTTGTGTACCTTTCCCCGATTACAAAAGCAATACTTGTTCATGAAAAATTCAAACAAAACAGAAAGTGCAAAGTAAGAAGTCTCAGGTCTCTCCTGTCCCTGTTGAGTTTGGTTCTTTCTGATATCTTCTGGGGTATCCTGTTAATGAAAATAACATTATTCCATTCTTCTGCTGTTTTCCTTTTACTTTTTATTTTTTAACCTACTGTATCATGGAGGGTCTTTGTGTGTGTGTGTGTGTGTGTTTTCATATATCCACATTTACCTCTTTCTGCATAGTAATACTTGCCGCATTATCTAGACGTGCCAGCCTCCTCCTGCGGCTCACTTGTGCTGTTTCCAGTTTTCCATTATCACAGACAGCGCTGCAGGGAGCATGCTTGCAAGTACACTTTGCCTGTCTGCACTAGCAACTTTTCCTGCAGAAATCATAGGAGGAAAGATAAGACCCATTTGAAATGTTGGTCAGCATTACTGATTTATTCTCCTAAAAACTTCCGTATTGTTAACTATTTTTAATATTTCAAAGTGCATGAGTGGAAACTGGGTATTATCAACTATAGCTGCACTGATTGACTAAAACATTAACTTTCTCAGTGTTTGGGGCAGAACTTGGCTATTTCATGCCTGTCAGCAGGAGATAATTAGTGGTTTTATGACTTTTCATGAGTTAAAAAAGGATATTACTAATGAAACACATTTTAACAGGCTGCATATTCATAAATATTGGGTATATTTAGAAGATATACTGGAAGAAGACCTTGTTCATGAAAAGGGTGGGAACCACTGACCTTCCCCCACTGAACCACCAGCTCTCTCCAGTGACCTTGGAGACCACTCTTAGGATTAGATAAGAGAGCATAGTCATGCATATCACATGGTTCCCGTCACCAGGTGCTGACAAGAGCTTGTGGCTGGAATTGACGGGGCAGTCATGAAACCAAGAGTCCGGTCAGAGCCCTGACCTTGACTTTCTACTGTGGAACTGTGGGCCAAGCTCTTCACTTCCCTGGGTCTGAGTGTTTCTGTTTGTAGGAGGGAGGTTTCAAGCCCTCCATTCCTCTGTGTACATGAGGGAGAATAAATTAAGGGGTGTGAGGGTGACTCAGTCTGTTAAGGATCTGGCTCTTAATTTCGGCTCAGATCATAATCTCACGGTTCACGGGTTTGAGCCCCGCATTGGGCTCCACGCTGATGGTGCAGAGCCTGCTTGGGATTCTGTCTCCCTCTCTCTCTGCCCCTCCCCTGCTCTCTTTCTATCACGCTCTCTCAAAATAAATAAATAAACATTAGAAAACAATTTTAAAAAACATTGAGAAAGCAAGTTAAACCTATGTAAATAGGATAGAAGAGAATTTCAGCATTGAAACAGCTTTCCATTGTATGTCAAGGGGTATGTTTCATTGTCTCTGAAATTAATCAGCTTGAACTGTCTACTCTTCAAATTAAGGTGTAGTGGCTTTGTTTTGCAAACGGCAGGACAGAACATTCTTAATTTTGTCTATGTGGCAATCTGACATAGGACGTGTGGCTTAGTTTTGTAAACCAAGAAGTTCTGGAAAATGAGACGCCCAGAGGTAGGAAGCGTGGTGCCTAGGAGAGTCTTTCGAGACCCCTGTTTTCTTTTGGTCATAGCTTTCTCTGACCAGTTAGGTAAACATGCAGCAGCTGGTCCCCTGTTTAGCTTCAGAGCAGCTCCCAAGTATCCGTTCATGTTCATTTAGGGAGGGAAAGAGGACCTTAGGGGGAAGCACCTAATGGGCTGGAAGTTGTGGACAAAGCAGGCCCAGAAGTGCAGGTAATGAGGCAGATCATGGGGAGTTGAGAAGAGCATGGCGCTGAGCTGGAGAAAGTGAAGACTCAGTAGAAATTTACTGCTGCTCCCAGGCGGACCTGTCAGGGGGTCAGAGATGGGGGATTCACATCAGCTGAGTCTGCAGGGTGGTGTTTTTGCCTGGTTTTGTGCTCCCTATTTGTACAGAGATGAAAATAATTTGTGTTGCTCATTACCTACCTTGGAGGAGCCCCTGCCCAAGCCGAGGCATTTTCCATGTACACAGGGGAAAAGGGCTAGAGGCCAAGTCCTCTGACCCCGCATCTGGGCGTCCACTCTTCCCTCACCACTTGGGCCACTCTTTGATTTCTGGGTACTTCTTGCCAAACCCCCTAAGGAAACTCTTCCTTGCACAGTCTTCCTCTATCCGGGCCCATCTGCCCACTTCTCCCCTGAGGTCTATTGAAAATGACTTTCCTATGCAAGTAGCCCAGTTTCACTGAATTGTGTCATAGTCTTACAGGGCCACCTTGCCCCAGCACAGAGAAGCCACAGTGATCTGCAGGGTACCTTCTAGAAAGTAGTGCCGGGAAGTGGAGAGTGGAGGTGATTCTTTTCCTTTCCCAGCCCTGGGCAGGGCCTCCCCTCACAGGACCCTGTGGAGTCCAAGTCCTACATGACCTCAGTTTGGGTCCTGGCCCAGGAGAGTGGCTGGCTGCAGTGCAGGCGGGGCAGTGAGGGGGGGGGAGGGGGAGACAGAGAGAGAGAGCCAGCCCCTGTGAGCAAGCTGTCCAGGAAGCTCAAGCTCTGTTGGGTGTGTTCTAGGAACCAGCCCAGCTCTGCACTGGAGAATCTCCAGACACAAGGCGTGTCTCTATGGCCGTATCAACCCTGGGTTACCAGACATGATTGTGTTAAGAAAGGTGCCATGGTTCTCATCTTCCTAATCCTCACCACTTTTTCCTCCCTTTCCACCTTAGATGCCTCTGTGGAGACTTTGCATGTGTGGGGAGGACATGTCTTGGTTTGGGTACTTGGTTTGGGTTGATGTCTTGGACATCAACATGACCTTTTAGTTCTCTTTTAGGAGGTTGAACTGATACCTCCTCAGTTTGCCTTCCCACTCTTCCCTTGGCTTTACTGAGGCTTATAAAGATTAAGAGGTTAGGGCTATGAAGTACCTAGCCCAGTGCATGAACCTTACTCAGCCCCTAGCCATTCAGTTCTGTTCTCCTTCCACTCTAGCGTGGGCATCTTACATGACCAACTCCCCAACTCTCATCGTTATGATCGGCCTGCCAGCCCGGGGCAAAACCTATGTGTCCAAGAAACTCACACGCTACCTCAACTGGATTGGAGTGCCCACCAAAGGTAGGTGCAGGTCATCCATTCCTTGGGAAGGGAAATGATCAGTTCTTAGGCCTCCCAGGCCTCTGGGAGATTTATTCTCCTTGGCATCAAGTTGCAGGGTGCTCCTAGCAGAAATAGTGGCTGCTTCCTGATTTACTGGATTTATTCCCTGTTTACAGACTTGTTTCCTTTTGGCCTGGGTGGATTGACCTAGTTTTAAGGGAATGCCTTTGATAGTATAGGGCTTTACATTTTCAAAGCCCTTCCATATTTATCATCCTGTCTAATCCTAGCAATACTCCTGTGGAATAGCCAAAGTGATGGAGGAAATTGAAACTCAGACAGTTTAAGACTTGTTCAAGGTCTAGTAAGTCTGAACTTGAATCTAAATTGACTCTTAATCTGGGTATTGTTCCCAACATACCATGGTGCTTTTTTCATTTCCTTGGCCATTCTGACAGTAGACCAAGAAGTCCCCTTTGGTGGGACCATTGTGTTGTTTCACTGCTGAAGGCTGTTGGTGTCATCTGCAGTGTTTAATCTTGGTGTATATCGGCGTGAAGCAGTCAAGTCCTATAAGTCCTATGACTTCTTCCGGCACGACAATGAGGAGGCCATGAAGATCCGCAAGTGAGTCCTCTTAGATCTGACCTCCCAGCCAGCTCTTTCTCTGCCATCGCAAGACTAGATGTGACAGGGCTCGGTTTGCATGTCAGTAAATATCTTGTGGGGGTTTTAACTGGAAGTTGTTTGGGGGACGGGTCACGTTGCGTTTGGGTAGGTAGAAGAACAGGCTCAGGGAGATGCATGTATGTTTGTAGGGGAAGCCTACAGAGGGATACTTGGTATGCATGGGGCAGAGGAAGGAGAAAAGTGTAGGATAGTGTAAAACCTTCAGTGGGGAAGTTGGAAAGTCTAGTTAGGGAAAAATTTTGACCACTAGGAAGACTGAGCGGGAAGGGATGTGACTCCTATAGCAACCGAGTCGTTCATGTTTCTGGACTGGGCTTGGGCTTGGTCTGGTGCTGCTCTCACTGATGTCCTCTGTTCTCACGGCAGACAGTGCGCTCTGGTGGCGTTGCAAGATGTGAAGGTGTATCTTACTGAGGAAAGTGGGCAGATCGCGGTGAGCCTTCCCTGCCTCTTCCCCAGCTTGCTCTCCACCCTTTCAGCAGCGTGACTGCACGGCCTTCCATTGGGTCTGCCTTGGTGGGATTCCCATTCTCTCTTCCCACTCATCTACTTTGTGGCCTCTCTTCCCAGGTGTTTGATGCCACCAACACCACTAGGGAGAGGAGGGACATGATCTTGAACTTTGCCAAGGAGAATTCCTTCAAGGTAGGAATCTGACTTTCTGCTGCGATGAGTGGAGGTGGGGAGTCAGGAGGGACATGCGGATCTCTTTGACTCTGGTGTATAAGGACGTGGTTGGCTTTTCCTTTTCTTTTCTTGGGGAATAGCCCCAATTCTTGAGTGTTTTCTTTCAGGTCCTTTCTCAGCCCCTTAGCTTGTATGTCTGAGACCCTGGGGAGGTGGTAAGAGCTATTTTTAAATGAAGAGGACTTGAAGGCTGCTCTCATGGAAGAAAATCCCGGAGGATGCGGTGACTGGGGTGGGGCAGGTGTGAGCACATGCTGTTAATTAACAGCTTGGCCATTTCTGACTCATTTATCACAGCCTTCTCTCCCGGCAGGTATTCTTTGTGGAATCTGTCTGTGATGATCCTGATGTCATTGCTGCCAACATCCTGGTGGGTGACACCCCTGCATACCACCTCCTCTCTATCCTTTCTGCCATGTGTTAAGTGTGTGTTGATGGCTGAGGGGGGAGAGTCAACTGGGTAGTGAAGGAAAGAAATAGACATGTTTAACAGTACAAGGTGATCATTTTGATCTGCCAGAGCACTTCCACACTCCTCCCTTGGGAGAAGAAGCTGAGGCTCTGAGGAGTAGAGTAAGAACTGGTTATTGAATGGAAGCCAAGACTTAGATGGTGGGAGTTTTGGCCCTGTGTTCTGGGTGTTAGCTGGATGCCGAGACCTCAGTATATTCCTAGGGTGGATCAGTCCCTTCGTTATCTGTCAGGCCCACCATATAGGAAGAAGTTCATCTGCCCACTAACTCTCTAACATTCAGGTCAGAATGCCTCATGCCCTGTCCTGTCAAAGTATAAACCAGTGCACATTTGATGGGTTGTACTGTGCTATGTAGACATGGTATCATGGTAGTGTTCTTCTAGCAATGTGGGAACTTGGGAATATCTCAGAATAAGCATCTGGTCCAAGTCAGGCCTGCATCAGATCAAACACCCTCTTGTGAGTGGTTGTATAGAGAAATTGAAGCCCATTCTGTTTTCCTGGCAGGGCACATAAAGTGATTGGGGCCCAAGAGCATTTTCAGCTGCGTGACTGCCTCAGTCCTTCAGCCAAGGGCAGGCACATGATCCTCCAGTTGTCTTTCCTTTCTTGGTTGCCAGGGTCACAGGACAGGGAGGGGGTGCTCAATGAATGGGGATTGCCAACACTCCAGTGAAAGGGACCTTCTATGAACTTCCTTCTCTTTATTTAGCATTGGCTGATTATAGGAGGGCTGTTAAGGGCAGACCTCTGACCAGGCCCTACTCTCCCTGTGATTCCAGGAGGTAAAGGTGTCGAGCCCTGACTACCCTGAAAGGAACAGGGAGAATGTGATGGAGGACTTCCTAAAAAGAATTGAGTGCTACAAAGTCACCTATCGGCCCCTTGACCCAGACAACTATGACAAGTAAGGTTTAAGGCCATGGTTTGAAGGGCCTGAGGCTGGGGTCTCATTTGGCAAAAAGAGCCTTTCTTCCTTTGTCCTCAAACTTCTGTCTGACAATCCAGACCTGTAGTGTTTACATCATTCCAGGGACACAAGGTATGGATTTGTGGCTTCTATGTAAGTCGCATCTTACACTTGAATAGTGAAGTGTCTTTTATTGCCATTCTTCCTCTCTATTCTCTGAAGCAGGATTTCTCAGTCTCAGCATTGTTGACATTTTGAGCTGGTTATTTCTTTATTAGGGCGGCAGGGGGCTGTCTTGTGCACGGTAGGATGTTTCGCAGCATCCCTGGCCTCCTCTCACGCGATATCAGTAACACTCCCAACCTGCGACAACCCAAAATGTTTTCAGACATTGCCAGATGTCCCTGGGGAACAAAGTCACCCCTGGTTGAGAACCACTGCTCTGGATCCATAGTTCTCATCTAGGGTGTTGTAGAAAACCCCTTAGAGATGTGTCATCAGTTTTTGAAAAAATTTTAAAGTTTATTGTGTGTATATATATGGTGTAATATATCAGTATATATATGTTACGTGTATCACACTAACATGTAGAAATATTCATGAAATATGACATACGTACATGCACAAATATGTGTAATGTACATATAGTGTTATGTTTTATATATAAATACACATAATACAAATGGACATAAACAAAAATTTGTAATAAACACAAATATATATATATATATATAAAACGTGTGTAGATGTGTAAATAGCACATGTGTGCATATACCTGTATGTGTATATATGCATATATACACACACACACACACGTGTGTGTGCATATATAGCATGAAAAGCCGTTAACATGCCTGGCTCACCATAAATGCAGTCAAGGCAGTTAACAGCTATGTTGACGAACACAGCCTTGCAGCCAAGCAAGTGGCGACATAAGTGTGCGTAGCCCACCATTCAGTTGTGTTAGTGGTCTGTTTAGTGTTTGGAGTCTGGCAGTTCCTTCAAGTAGATTGCCCAGAATGTTAGTATTTGGAAGTGCTCCTTAATTTAGAGGTTGAAAACCACTGTTCTAAATAGGGTATAATAGTATGTTCTTTGTAGAGGTCCTATATAGAATAACATTCTAGAACTGTGTGTGTGTGTGTGTGTTGATAGGTAGGGTTTGGGTGATTTTTATTTGCATCATTCTACCTTCTTTTTGAAAGTTTTTTCGAACGGGCATTTATCATCTTTACAATGAGAAAAATTCTCTGATGGGGCAACAGCTGTGGAAGTGCCTTTGAGAGAGGGTTGGTTCAGTTGATGCAGGAACATGTAGAGGTTTCTAAGATTCTGCTGCCTCCTGCCCTCCCCCAGCTATGCCATCCTCTGGGCAGGTCTCTGGGGCAGCAAAATTGTCACGTCACCTAGTCCAGCCCCTGAAGGAAAGCCTGGATTCTTTGTATCATACCTGTCTACACTGCATGGCACAGTATAGGTACTGAAAAAATGGTAGACTGGGTCTGAGGTGTAACCCATCTCTTACAGCTGGTTCCTTAAATGTGGGTTGGCTTTGATAGGAGAGGAGGAAGAGCTGCCTTGAGCCCAAAAGTAACTATGGGAATCCTTCCCCTTGCACCGTTATCCTCAGATTTTCATTCCCAGGGATTCTCTTTTCTCCTGCTCTGTCCCAGGGATCTGTCTTTCATCAAGGTGATAAATGTGGGCCAGCGATTTTTAGTGAACAGAGTCCAGGACTACATCCAGAGCAAGATAGTCTACTACCTCATGAATATCCACGTGCAGCCTCGCACCATTTACCTTTGCCGGCACGGAGAGAGCGAATTCAACCTCTTGGGGAAGATTGGGGGCGACTCTGGCCTCTCGGCACGGGGCAAACAGGTGAGTGGTTCGGCAACAGGCTGGATTTCCTAGGCTTAGAGTTGGAGGAAGGGCATGGCAGAGGTCACCTCTCTTATCCCCTTACTTCTTCCTAAATCCCACTGGGGCTTAGGCTATGGTTACAGATAGTCAAGCAAATGCTGAAGACATTTTCTCATCCACTGATCCTGGCTGTGCTGTAATGTTGATAACTTAGAACCACTTCTGCTCTTCATGTGATTGTCAGATATTTCTTGGGCGTGACTTATGTCCCTAGCACAGTACAGGATGCTCCATTTGAAGTTCATTTCCCCTTGGGTTTATCGTAACTGTGTAGCATGCTTTGAATTTTGACCATGGTCCTACATGTTGTCTTCTACAGGCCAAGTTAGCAATGGTGCGTGTGTGTGTGTGTATATCTCCCTTTAAAATTTTATCTCAAACCCCAGTTTGCCCAGGCTCTAAGGAAGTTTCTGGGGGAACAGGAGATAACAGACCTCAAAGTGTGGACAAGCCAGCTGAAGAGGACTATCCAGACTGCTGAGTCCCTGGGTGTAACATATGAGCAGTGGAAGATTCTGAACGAGATTGATGCTGTGAGTAAGAGATGCGGATGGCTGCGAAGTCAGTGAGAGCCTCTGATTCAGGCAGGAATTCTCAGAAGTCACGATACGGGCAGCTTTATCTAGAAAACCAGAACTACAGGGTAGCAGTAGTTGGGGAGGAGGTGGGAACAATTCCACCCCCAGCCAGGACTGCCTGCCTGCTTGAGCTCTGTGCTGGTGATGGGCCCAAACCCAGCCGCTCTCGTACCTGCAGAAAGGGAGGTTCCATTTTGTTCCTTTGCATATTTTTCTCCTGGGAAAGAGAAATAGCTAACAACTCACTTCTTTCATTTCTGGTTAGATCATTTGGTCAAATATTCTGGAAAAGTCCTTTCCAAATTTTTCTTGGCTTTTTCTGTTCTTGAGCACAAAAGTAGGCCTTCCTTTCCTTCCTTTCTTCCTTCCCTCCTTTTTTCCCTCCCTCCCTTCCTTCCTCCCTTCCTTCCTTCCTTCCTTCCTTCCTTCCATTCTCTCTCTCTCTCCCTTCCCTTCCCTTCTCTTTCTTTCCTTCCTTCCTCCCTTTCTCCCATTATTATTATTATTTTTAAATTTTCCATCCAAGTTAATTAACATATAGTGTAAAAATGATTTCAGGAGTAGAATTTAGTGACTTATCACTTACATATAACACCCAGTGCTCATCACAAGTGCCCTCCCTAATGCTCCTCACTCATTTAGTCCATCCCTCCCACCCAACTCCCCTCCAGAAACCCTCAGTTTGTTCTCTGTATGTAAGAGTCTTTTATGGTTTGTCTCTCTTTCTCTCTGTTTTTATTTTTTCTTTCCCTTCCCCAATGTTAATCTGTTTATCTGTTCCACATATGAGTGAAGTCATATTATACCTGTCTTTCTCTAACTGCCTGATTTCACTCAGCATAATACACTCTAGTTCCATCTGTGTGGTTGCACATGGCAAGATTTCATTCTTATTCATCAAGAAGGAGACCTTTCTTTTTCACTTCTTCCTTTCTACCTTTTTTATGCCTTCTACAAGAATTCTCTGGTCCCTTCAGAGTCCTCTCCTTCCGTTTCCTGTCCCTTGTAGCCTACTGGCTTGTCTTGACCTTTGACTCCTGCGAAGTAGTTGGAGTAAGTGGCAACTTTAGCAGCCCCGTCCTGTCTGTAGCAGCCCTCCCCGCGCCAGCCTCAGGCACCCTGGCTGGTCAGTGGCAGTGCGGGCAAGCCCTTGGCGTGGTGCCTGGCACGTAGTGAGAGCTGGGGGTCTTCGGCGTTGCCCCCCTTGTGTGGGTGGCTGCGTTGGCCAGTCTGCCTCCTCCAGACGGCGTGGCTCCCCGCAGGGCGTGTGCGAGGAGATGACCTACAAGGAGATTGAGAAGCAGTACCCAGAGGAGTTTGCGCTTCGAGACCAAGAGAAATACCTGTATCGATACCCTGGCGGGGAGGTGAGATTCCCCTCACATGGGGCAGCCGCCCAGCGCTCTGTGGGGGGTTCAGCTTTAACTTGGGGGAAAGGTTGAATGTGATGTGGAGGGTCTAGAAAGGGTGGTCAAGGCATCGTGTCGTTTTTTTCCTTCTGCCTTTGGGTCACACTGTGTTTAATTCAGCTCAGACAGTTGAATGTCTCATTAAGATCTCCAGGGCAAAAGGTGACAGGATGTCTTCTGTGTTGAGTAACTGCAGAATCAACATCATCTTTTTTACATCTGTTTTTCGTACCACCCCCTCTGACCCACCCCCACCCAAGCAACTATGGGCCCCAAGTAAATATATGGGGCAGGAATGATTCCCCTGTCATTGGACGTGTTTGTGGCCATTCCCTGGCTTGGGTGGTCTTATAGTCTGGAGATGTGTGAGGCACCGGCAGAGGTCCGATGCCCCCCTCGGAGATTCATTCTCCTTGCCTCACATGCTGCGGGAGGAAAAAATAACACAGGCTGAATTCAGATTTCCTCTTTTGACCAGTAGTTTTCTCGGTCTGAATGTTGCTCTTGAGTATTCTCAAGAGATCCCAGGGCTGGGGGGAGTTAGCAGGCGACATGAAGTCGCCGAACCTCCAGGAGGAACGCCAGCTGAGGAAGACGGAGAAGTGGCCCCTTGACTCTGGACCCGGCCACCAACCTGGCTGCCGGCCTGTGGCTGGCCTCCTACCAGTCTCCCCACTTCCTCCACAGTCGTACCAGGACCTGGTGCAGCGGCTGGAGCCTGTCATCATGGAGCTGGAGCGTCAGGGCAACGTCCTCGTCATCTCCCACCAGGCTGTCATGCGCTGCCTCCTGGCCTACTTCTTGGATAAGGGTGCAGGTGACATTTGCAAGAAGGGCCAGGGGACACATTCATGGGGAGGGGGTCAGACTTGTGGGGGCACCAGGATCCTAGGCAACTGGACCTTCCCCTCTTCCACTCTTAATTAGAGTGCATTCTTTAGGCAGCTGTATGGGGTTCCCAGCACCCACTGGGCCAACTACTGGCTGAACTTACTCCCTTGGTACAAAAGCCCCCAGTGGAGAGTGGCCTCCGCTGGGGTTCATTGATCCTGCTTGGCTCAAAAGCCAGCGTCAAGCTGACACTCCTGGCAGAATTGAGATGTTCAGTGGTCAGACATTCCTGGCTTGTTATTTGGCTACAAGGAGGGTGGTGTCTTGAAATCATCTTCATTCTTTGGCTTCAGCGTAGGACAGTTTCTGGGTAGAGCCATAAGGAAATTGCTGGCTCGTCTAACCTTTCCCTTCCTGATCTACCTAAGCTGCTGGGAAGCCTGCAGGTTGGCCTCTGATGTACCCAGGTGGGCCTCCGTGTTCTCTTCCACGGGGTCCTGGCCACTGCTCTTACTCTTGTTTTGCCTGCGTGGAAGGATCCAAAGTGGACTGATTTCCTTTTTAGCCTCTCAGGAGCTTGGGCACCTTCTTTGGTGGCTGCCCTGATAATTGTCTGGGATTTAGGGGAGGGTCAGAGTAAAGAAAACTCACAGGCTTAGATTCGCCCACCAACTTGACCTTACGCCATAACACTAAGCAACTTCTCTCACCTGGTCTTTCTGCTTTCAGATGAGCTACCATACTTGAGGTGCCCTCTCCATACCATCTTCAAACTTACTCCTGTGGCCTATGGTAACTATGAGTTAAGCAGCTGGGCAGGAGGTGGGGACTGAAGAAAGTTGGGATATTTGAATTTTGTCTGGAAGTTCAGCCTCATAACCCCTGTATACTAGGGGAATCCCATCAGTGCCTTCCATTTTTAGAAGGATGGATGAATGGATGTTTGTATTTGGGGATATATACATACTTTTATGGTATGCTTCCCATACTGAAACGAAGAATTTTGCTTTGAGCTTTTTATTTTTTCCTGAAAGCCTGTTCTCTTTCCTCTGTTTTCTCAGGATGCAAAGTAGAAACCATTAAGCTCAATGTGGAGGCTGTGAACACTCACCGTGACAAGCCAACCGTAAGTATTTTTTCACAGATGGACAGACATGCAGCCTCCCTGCCACCTTGAGTCTTTGAACCTTTGACATCACGAGCCTAGTTTTGTTTATGCACAAAAGGAAAACACATCCAGAACTCCATGTCCTGGTAGCCTACTTCCTTCCAAAAGGAAGAGATACTGGAATTATTATTTTTAAAAATTAGTACCTCTTTCATGAGTCTTCACCTTGAACGGTAGCTCCTGGAAATCCAGTTAAATATGGAAAGTGTTTGGCTGAAGTGAGATACAAATGGTTTCACCCAGGGAATGTTCCCTTTAGAAAATAGCATCTAGGGGAGCCTGTACGCTGGGGTTAAGAGGAGTACATCCGTTCCTTGGTCTGTGTGATCTTAAATAAGCCCCTTCCTTTTGCGGGTCCTCTTTCTTCCTATGGAGTGTGATGCCCAAGGACCTTTAGCTACAACCCTTTAGCTTCCAGGGGCTGGGGAACAAGGCCATGGCCCACGTCTTACGAGAGGCTCTGTCTGCAGAGGAGCAAGAGTGGAGGAAACTTTTGGTTACGAGCATTGTTTAACCTTGATGAGTAGCTTTTGGCTTGGCTTTCATTTGTATGGTGTCCCTCCATTTCCAATCAGAACAACTTCCCCAAGAACCAAACCCCTGTAAGGATGAGAAGGAACAGCTTTACGCCTCTGTCCAGTTCGAATACAATAAGGCGTCCAAGAAATTACAGTGTTGGGAGCCGGCCCCTCAAGCCCCTCAGCCCTCTCCGTGCCCTGGACATGCAAGAAGGGGCCGACCAGCCGAAGACCCAAGTCAGCATTCCGGTGGTGTAACCCTGTGTCCCCCCACCCTACCCCCACCCCGGCTTGGCCTCCTGCCCTTGTCAATAATCACCAAGGAGTCATTTAACTTCTAGCCCCCACCCCTAGCAACACACCGTGGATCTCAACAGAGGACATGAGCTCATGTGTTTCCAGACCAGTCTTAGCTGTTCTCCAGTATGAAGCATCTCTCCGCCCAGGGGCAAGTTGACCAGTGGCTGTTGCGGGACATTTCCTCAGTTGGGATGGTCTGGAGGAGGAGGAAAAGGGATACACTCCCCTGGGTGCTTAGCGTAGCTGGCTCTGAGGTTAAGTATGCCCCATAGACTTGGTTTTTGTCCTGGGTGTCTAAACCCACTAATGTCCTTGTGTTGGTAAAGTGGGGGGCAGGGCAGAGGGCGGACACAGAAGCCCATTTTTCCTTCACTTCCATTTCTTCAAGGTGTGCTCTACTCACAGTCCTTACTTGCCTGCTTTGTTCCCCCTCCCTCATCTTCCCTTTGGATTTTCCGGTGTGATGCACGGCATTGTCATCGGTGTTTGTCGAGGTGGGAAGGGTGGTTGACAAGAGAGAAGTCAAGGCTCTGTTGACGCTCTCTGCAGGGGCCTTCAGTGGATCTGGACTCCAGGAGCATGATTTTTCCCCCCTCTCCTTTCCTCAAGCCAGGTCGTGAAAGGGTCAGCCCCGGCCTCAGAACATCCCACAGGTGCTCTGGAGCCTACAGGTGGACATAGAGTGAGAGCTCGCGCCTCGGTTCACGAGACCCAGTGTGAAGCGTGCGGTGCCCTGGGGGAGTGGGCTCTGAGCTTGCGGGAAGTATCTGGATGGGTAATTTTCCCTTCAGGAGCCCAGGCACAGGTCCTTCGGCGGCTGTGGAGTGAGGTTCAGGCCAGGACGGCCTCTGGCTCTTGCAGAGTCCATGTAGGGCCCGCACGTCTTTTTTTTTTTTTTTTTTCCAGCGGCTCCCAGCTTTGCCAACCACAGCAGCTTTCCTGCCAAGGCCAGTGACCTCTGGGGCCATTTAGAAGGACAGAGTTAAAGAGTCACCTCTGATGGGATTGCTCAAGCGGCAGAGAAGAGTTCACTAGAGCTGCTTCTGATTTTTCCGTAATTTTCAATACACTCCCCTCTTTACGTTAAAACAAATTATGCAAGAGCAGTTGTTTTTCCTTTATTCTAAATATGGAGGAGCCTGGTAATGAATTTAATCTCCCTCGCTGGCATATTCTTTTATCTCGTCTTGGTGTCCAGAAGTCTTTGGGGACCCTGAGGGGTCTAGCTTTTCATGGTCTGGAATTGCCTATTCTCTTCTGTCATGTTATTTTCTCAGTAAGGTTAATGTTTAGAGCAAGGGATTCGTATTAGCTCCTCGGTGACCCGTGACGGTGTACTGCCCCCACAGCCCCCTCCAGTTCTGTATCTAAGGCAAGAACATGTGTGCAGTTTTTGGAGAGAGAAGTCCAGATCTCATGAGAGTTTTTTAAAAAGTGATGGAATGAGTCCACACCTTGAAGTTCCTGATTTGTCTTTTAGAGGGAACCTATTTGCCAAGGGTGGTTTTGTTAGGTGACAGGTGACCTTTTGTCATGGCTGTCACCTAGAAGCAGTCATCAGGATCCTCTGTAGAACTTTTGAAACGTAGACATGCCTGGGTCCACTTCAGCCTTAACACTAACTCAGAATCTTTGGGATTGGGGTCTAGACACGCACGTGTTGAAGTAACTTCCTGAATTTTGGTTCCTGCTGCAGGTTATAACTCCATTTTATGAAGTTGTGGGGGAGAAGTACTGGAATAGTTCCTCGGACAGGGCGTAGGCCTAAGAATTCTGAATCCCTCTTGGCTCCGAAGGGACAGTTCTTTGGAGTCAGATGTGTGAGCAGATCACAGTATTAAACGAAGTGACGGCTGTGAAGGTAGTCTGCTGTGTTCTAGAGGGTTACTCTAGGTTCTAGTCCCATCTTTAATTCTTTGTATTGAACAAGTCACCGTGTGAATAAATGTCCTTGGGTGATAGCTGGGAATTTTAAGCACTCTGGATAAAGGCACAGAGATAAAACCTGAGGAAGATAAGGGTTATCGTCACAGACAGCCTACTTGTGACCACGAGTCCTTTATTCTTACGTTCTGAGTAGGACTTCACGGCCTTTCCAAAGGCTGCTTGCCTAGATTCTGCTCCTAATTGCGTCTAACCTGCTATTCCTGTTTCGCTATTACATTCTGTGCCCATAGTGGCTTTGTGGAGCTTGGGGGTGGTGGTGGGTTTGGGGGTAGAGTACACAGAGGTAGAAGAAAGGTCTTTGCCCTGAAGAAGGTTATAATAGAGACAGGGTGTATAATTTCTACTAAACGAACATTTGTGAAAGCGTGACACATTGGGTCTGTGCGTGTCGTGACAGACTTGAAAGAGCAGATTGAGAACTAGCTTCTCTTGTCTTTTAATCCTCAAATTAGCATTTAGCTCTTATTAACTGTACTATCTTTGGTTTCTAAAGATAAAAACGTGCATCATGCTAAGGGTCCACCCTATCTTACTGTCTCAGGTTTGTTTGTTTTCCTCCCAAGAAGTTAGAGTTAGGAATACAACTTATCTGTATTCCTAGACTGAATGGACGGGTGTATCCTGGGAGGGTCTGGGTGTTCCTCTTTGCACCCCACATTTGATCTGCAGAGGCACTGGCATTTAGAAGAGACATGACATAACCTTGGAAATGGACCCACCTTACAGTCTTTCTGTGAGTAGGGGATCTAGGTTCTGGAGAAGCTCATTGGTGCTTGGGGTAGCCAAAGGATGGGGAAGAGTGTCCAATAATTGAGAGAACTATATCCGGGTTACACAGTCTTAGGCACATTCCACTGTTTGTGCTGTGTTCAGAGGCCACGTGTTTCTTCTCAAGAAATGTGATAAATTTACCCAGGTTTTCTAGTATGCATTTTGACTTGGTCATGTTTGAAAATATTTTAATTTTGACAAATATCTAACAATTGAGTCAGATAGCAGCACTGGTAACCAGATTGGGGTTGATCTCTTACTTCCCACAGAGGTGACATCAGAAGTATGTCCAGGAATTTAATTTAGATGCATAGTGTCCAGAAGACTGTATCAAGTAGTAGTATATAGATGCTGACTGACTGGCAGACGTGGGTAGAGTCTGTACGTTGACTGACTGACTGAGAGACTATGGTAGGGTCTGATTGACAGACTCTAATAGGGTCTGTGCTGACTGACTAACAGATTCCAGTAGGGTCTGTATGCTGACTGACTGACAGACTCCAATAGGGTCTATGCTGACTGACTGACAGACTCTATTGGGGTCTGTATGCTGACTGACAGCTTCTAGTAGGATCTGTATGCTGACTGACTGACAGACTCCAGTAGGGTCTGTGTGTTGACAGTCTGTCTTCTAATTGTACCAGTGAATTGTATATGCATATTATTTAATTCTGTGTCTGTTACATGTGCCCTACAAAGAAAGGAAGTAAACACTTCACGTTTTGTTTTTTTTTTTAGGGTGACATTCTGTACACTATGATTTTTAATAGACCTTTCTTTTAGAGTAGCAGCCAAATTCCCTTCATTTTGTAGCAAAAGATGAAAACATCACTTGGGTTATTATTTTGTAAACTCAGCGAAGGAAATGCCTACTCAAAGCCTGAAATTGTTACCTCTGCCTGAATTCCTTCCATCCCTTCTCCCCCTTCTAGGCAGGACCTCCCTTTCATGCCCTGTTTCTGAACCTCCTGTGTCCTCAGTTCCCCATTATGGGAGGTAGCAGTGAGTCATGCTGCTGTGTCTGGCCGGCCATGCATTGGGCTCTTACTCATAATGTAATACCTAAAAGTGCAAAGGAAATTTTGCACTTAAAAACTGATTTTAAGAGTTGCCAAAGTATTCTTTCCAGTGAGCCTTTCACTGGGGATCTAGGACCAATATTTACCAACTCGGTGTTTTTGTATCTGAACTGCTTGTGTATATATTTTTTCTTATTGTGTTGGAATAACAAAATCAACTCATTCTGGTCTGGTGATGGTTTTACTGTGGCAAAAGCAAAGGACTGATCACGAGCTGTGCCCCTTGGAGGGGGTTGGAGATGGTTGAAGGGAATGGACTGAATTGGGAACTCACGTACTAGTTATCCTACGGATTTCCTAGGCACAGCTCTGGTGAAAAAGGAATGTGAGTCCTTACCAGCGTTCTGATTTAATCTGGTGACATTGATATCAAAATATGCCACTCAGATCCACAGAAGGTGTGTATAACTATATTTAAAATGTTTTTTTTTGTGTGTGTGTTTGTGTGTGTAGAATGGGTAAATAAAATTGTTGTGTAACTTGAACCTATCAGAAGGCTTCTGGGTTTTTTGTTTTGTATTTTGGATTGTGTTCTCCATCCACTCCCCCCATCTCTAAAACTATCTCATGCTGCTCCATGATCGAGCCTCAGACAAGCCAAAGCCAGTTGGCAGTGTGACTGGAGTCCTTGGTGTGGGCGTTGCTCTCTTCCACCACCTTCTGGAAAGCATGGGAAGGACGGTATGGAACGCACATGAACTTGAGTAGGAGTTGTGTGTACTTTCTGGCGTCTATAAGAATGAAGAAAAAATTACCTTTGTCCACACTGTACCATGACTCCCATTAGCAACATGTAACTCTATTGTAAAGAAAAAATGTAGAGATCTCTTAGAATTTAGTGGGCTATTCCTTCTAAAATATGACCTGCCTATTTCTAAAGAGCTTATAGCCAATGGGATAAAATGACCTTCATCTTCTGGGCCAGGAAATACAGGCAGAATTGTGTCACCGTCTCCTGCCTCATTCCTTGTTACCCTTGCAAGGAGCAGGAGCTCATCAGACATGCAGACTCTGGGGCCCAATCACAGGCCTGCTTAGTCAGAATCTTCCTCCTCCTGGGATTAGCAAGTGATTCAGATGCACATGTACCACTCAAGAAACACTGCTCTCGGGGGAAGAATTTCTCCAGATGAACATCAAATCCCAGTCTATGGGAAGAAGTTGATTTGTGCCACAACTGATTTCAGGGCGCACTGGGATAACTAGAACTGTAGAGACCCTCGTCACCAGCCACGTTGCCCAGACTGCGGTGCCATTTTCTCGGCATGGTCTTTTGGCTGATAGCTGCCTGCGTGCTCTCCTTTTACCACAGGGCTTCCGACAGCTTGTGCCTCATATCTTGGGTTTATAGCTTACGGTCTAGGTCTGGAAGAAGTACATGGTCCGGCATGGGTACAAAGGTTGGTTTCTCAGGGAAAGAAAGCCCCTGACCGTACTGTTAGAGTTTGGCTGAGTCCCAAGGGTAAAGGGGTGTGTGCGAGCACACCAGAGTGTCCGTGCGCGTGTGCGGACGTGGGATCTGGCCTGTGGGGGAGCAGTGGAAGGCAGTGGAAGGGATTCTGCATTACTTTTTCTTGTCCCTTTGTGGTGGTGTAATGGCTTTCTCTCTTCTCCGGCTCCTAGGCAGAGACCATGCTGGCTGTGTCCCGGCGGTCTTCAACGGCGTCCCTCACACCGTGCTCCTGATGACAAGAAGTTCTGAGGCCACACTGCCCCAGGATCTACTATAAAGCTTGGGACGTCAGCTCCGCAGGGGCTTGATCAGGAAGTTGAGCGGGGATTGGACATTGGGGGCCCCCACAATGAGGCCTGGAAAAACACCACATTTCTTCCCCTCACGCCTAATGGGATTTCTGTTACACTGAGAAACTTCACTTCCCTGTGCCTCAAAACATCTAACAGCCTGAGTCCATTAGTTTTCATTACCTCTCTGCTGGGTGTGACCTCGGTTGGTCAGACTTGTCCCTTTTGGGCATTTGACTTCCTACCTGCAACTGTATTCCTGGCTGGCTGTTCTTTCCTGAAATGCAAGTGCACCTCTTTGGATTTAATTGTTTCCAAGTGAGTGGGCTGAGCCTGGCAAGCCTTTTCTGTGCTCTGAGAGCTGGTCTCTGCGCCCATTCCAGGCGAGCGGGCTAGAGTACGACATGCCTTATGCGAGCCGTCCCTTCCTTGTCATGTTGGAAACGAGACAAATTCACCAGGTGAATAGAGGGTATTTGAGAAATTTAGCCCCCGAAACATCTCTGCTGTGGTGATGGAGGAGCAGCATCAGTGAGCTACCTTTTCATTTAGAGGAGGTTTCCTCGTTCGAGGCCCCATAAGGGCAGGATCTGACTGCAAGACTCCCCAGAATGGGTACCCATCTTCCCTTTTCATAAGTAGCTACTGTATTTCCTACGTGATGCTGGGTCCCTCATAGCTGCAGAGGGATAATGTCATTCTCCGGTGGGTGAGAATGAGGGCAAGAAAGAAAAGTAGGGCTCCATTTACATTACCTGAAGAAGTAAAGAGGGTTCCTTGGGAATCCGTTCTACCAGGAGGGTTCTTGCTTCAGAACAAGTGCAGGGAGACACAACTTTCTGTGGCGTCTGTCACAATGATGTGGTGTCTACGAGAGCTGTCGCCGCGACATCAGCAATAGTCTTCTGATGCCTGCCTCTTAGCTGATTGTCACCATCGAAGTCTACTGGTCTGCTCTCTCAGGTAAAACACTGAGGGGGCAGGGGAGAACCACATCCTTGATACATCCGTCATTTGGTTTCCCTTAAAGATAAGCCAGGTAATCATTCTCTCCATCAGTGGTTGTCAAATGTACAGATATCTCTGTCAGTGTGATTTTAATCTGTCACTTACTCCAGAGGAAGGTGTGGAAGCTGTGAAGGATCTTACAAGGAAAATCCTTTTTTTTTTTTTTTAAGGAATAGTAACTTTTTAGCTTTTTAAATAATTTTTTCCCTTTCATGCAAATACCCACTTGCTGAGCAAGAGGGTAAGTAGCAAGAAAAGTAACGAAATGCAGCTTTTCCCAAATGGTTCTTTTATACTGCGGATGATACAGGGCTCTGGTCCCCAAGCTGTGATGAGCTGGGCTGCAGGCAGCTCAGCATCCAGTGACCAGGAGCTGCTTTTATACGCACAAAGCCGCCTTCAGAAAGGCTCCTGGCCCTGCTCCGTAGCAGGTGTCCTCACCCAGCTGCTCGCAGCATGCTGTACTGTGCCGAGTCTGCTCATGCGAAGCGGGTATCTTTCTGCATCTGAACACGGTGTCTGCTGATGATCAGATAATGTTCTGATTTAGTTATTTATTCATCCACGTGAGATATTTCGAAGTCCCGGTATTAGCGTTTGCATGTGTTTAACGAGAACGTAAGATAATTGGTGGTGTCAGTTTTTTGGTAGAAATTTAGGTAGTTTGAGGTTTTAAGTCTGATGTCCATCGTATTACCTTAAATTAAATTTCCAAGGCATAGGTATGTGTCTTCTGTGAAAGGATGATGACTGTTAAGACACAGAGGATTGCTTTTGAATAGGTTTTTTCTCATTGATTTTTATTTTAAGTATCAACCAAGAGACGCATTTCTCTGGAGAAAATAAAATCATGCTAAAGTATGTGAGTAATGTGTATTGCTTTGTAATAAGAAACATAATAAAAGTTATTTTTAATTTAAAGATGGATTTAATTTAATTTGGACATCACACACAAACAAGGATAACATTTGGTGCGTTACACCTAACAACGTGTCAGTACCGTGCAAAATGTTTTTGAAACTAGCTTCTTTAAAATGATTCTCAAATTACCAGACTATATATTTCCAACTAGTGTTTTAACTGGTGACTCCTGCTTTTATCAAGCTCCATTAGCCATTTTAAGATGGTATCAGGGGGACGTTATTGCCATGTATTACCCACATTCTGCAGGCTTTTTTAAACTTCTTTAAAGAATATTTAATGATCACTGATTGGTTGCCATGCAGCGTAACACCCAAGTCCCCGTCTCCTTGTCTTAGAAAGGTCTCTACACACTCGTACAGGGGTTAATCTTATTCAGCAGTCAAGCCGTCATCTGTAGAAGGCTAAGCATGTCTGGGATCATTTTCCCCACTAACCCTGATTAAGTGACTCACCTCAAGACTGATGGAGTTTTTGTCAAAGTCCACACCTCCAAACAAGGTAAATTGTATGATGTGTAACAATGAGGGCCTGATAAACATATACTATTTTTATTTTTTATTATTGAAAAATTTGTTTCCAATGTTTATTTTTGAGAGAGAGCGAGCATGAATGAGGGAGGGACAGAGAAAAAGAGGGACAGAGGATCTGACATGGGGCTCAAACCTACGAATCGTGAGATCATGACCTGAGCTGAAGTTGGTTGCTTAACCAGCTGAGCCACAGAGGTGCCCCTATAACAAACTATTTTTAATTTTTTAATGTTAATTTATTTTTGAAGAGAGAGAGAGAGAGTGCAAATGGGGGAAGGGCAGAGACAGGGTGACACAGAATCTGAAGCAGGCTCCAGGCTCTGAGCTGTCAGCACAAAGCCCAATGTGGGGCTCGAACCCACTAGACATGAGATCATGACCGGAGCTGAAGTTGGCCACTTAACTGACTGAGCCACCCAGGCGCCCTCAGACTATTTTTTAATGTAGCTAGAAACTTTAATAAAGATATCAGAATTAAAAAAATGACTCCACAGATAGTGCTCCTGTATTGAGTGATGGTCACTATTTGTCTTATTTCTGTAGCCTTAATTATTACATCAAGTCTTTAACCTCTCCCAGATCTTCACTGGGGACTCCCCATGAGGAGGTCAGCCTTCAGGCTTACTAGCTTGCCTAGGTTGGTGACCACCCCACTGGCATTTCCTGTGGCAGTCCAGCAATAGCCATCACCATGCTTTATTGTCTCGAAGTATTCTGCACCATCTGACCTCTGGTAGGGTCCCCTCCCTAAGGAAAGAAAAAAAAAAAAAACCCTCAAGGCAACCCGGCTATATGCGTATGTGACAACATCCCTCAGGACCTTGTAACATGAGACCACTTAATCAGACTACATGTTTGTGTGTTACCATATATGGGAGGCAAAGAAGTAAAAAATACATAAAAACCTATGCCACGTGGCTTTCGGGGCTCAGCTGTCCGGGTATGAACCCAACTGAGCAGTTCCCGCACTAAGCTGCTTCCTGGAAGGAAAAGCCTCAGTGTCACAGCTCCCCGCGAGAATCCTGCCACAAACCTACTTTCGTGGTCTTGAACTCATTTGAGAATTTGACAAAAGCTAAGGGCCCTCTTACCCCCACGCCCCAAAGGTAGATACATGTAAACTTCACATACAGTTTGGGGGGGGGGGTGTCATAACCTCAGGGTAGCAAAGCAGGAGCTAGATGATATGTACACAGCCCATCTCTCTTTCCTTTGACATTAAAAAAACAAAAAACAAAAAACCAGGAGACATCTGATACTTTTTTTTTTTTTTTTTTTTAATTAATTAATTTATTTCTAGGAGAGAGAGAGAGAGCGTGAGCAGGGGAGGGTCAGAGAGAGAGGGAGTCACAGACTGAAGCAAGCTCCAGGCTCTGAGCTGGCAGTCAGCACAGAGCCCGACGCGGAGCTTGAACCCACGAACCGCGAGATCATGACCTAAGCGAAAGTCGGACGCTTAACCGACTAAGCCACCCAGGCGCCCGACATCTGATACTTTCTTAAGCAGAGGAGAATATATGGGATTCTGAAACACTTACATTTTTAAACCAGACATTGTAGAATAGCTAGGAATTTGTATTTTAACAACAGAGCATCACTAAGCACAGGTGGGGCCGTGTAGTGTTTTGTTTTTCTTAACCTCAAGGTGCAGAGTGTGCCTGCTTTTTGTTGTGAAGCCAATGCACACTGCTCGTGCCCACAGACAGAGCTCCATTCTGGTTCCCTATATACACTGTTGGCAGTATGCAGCACCTTACCTGCAAAAACTAGGTCAGGTTCAAGACCCAGTTTCTCCTTGCAAATAAATAATTTCGCATGCGCAGGAGCCCTTGGGAAGCAGCGTTGCAGATCTCATAGAGCCTGGCCTCCAAACATGCAGTGTTCCACCAACCATACAGCCTACGTTCAGAGAACAGCTTCTTTATCCATTTGCATTTTCCTCGTTAGTGATCCTCTCACCTTTTTGTTAACATTCAGTCTTCATTTGCCAGGTTCTCTCCTCTTTTGTCCATTGCCTTTTTAGAATTTAGGGCTGGTAAGGGAAACAGTCTCTGGGCGCAATTTAATAAACACTCTTTTCTGAATTTAAATTCCTGGGTCATTTTACTCAAACGGTGGTAGATCCTTATTTGCTTGCATTCATCGGTGTTTCAGATTAGAAGGTGAAGGTGCCAGCAAACCCAAGATAATGGCGCCTTATCTGTGACCCAGGGTTTCTCTCCTCCACAAGCAAGTGTGGAGAGAAGCAGTGTGGGGACAATAAGCAGTCTAGGACCGGAATGTAGCTTCCCCAATCATCCAGGACCTTCTGTCCCTCTGTCCTGTGATGTTAACTCATCATCCTCGAGATGATTCTACCCCAGTAGTAGTACAACATAGCTATTTGAGCTACAGAATCATGTCTACATGTCCATCAGCAGGACGGAGCACAGAGGCCACACTTAACTCTCTTGCTGTAGTGTGTCTGCCTGGCTCACCACCGAAGCTTATACTACAATGTCTCACGAACAATTAGACCTTTTAAAACATATTAGTTTTATTCTCACGTAATCTGCATCAGGGTTACTTTTCTGGCCCAGATTTTTCTTGAGGAGACATTCGAGAGACATCAACTTGATATATATTTTTTTAAAAATTGGAGAAGCATTTTAAATCTTTTCTGAGTTATCTTGACAAAGACCAAAGGGAATCCACCCGTAACATACTTGAGAACTTCTTTAAATGTCTTTTTCCAATTCTCTTAAAACCTCACGTGCACACAACAGTTTAACGCCCCACAACTCCCTGGCTGATATCTCCACTCACCTCCTTAGTGTCTTCCACTAATCACTGTCAGCCTATTCCTTTGTTGAGTAAGCTAACTAGTCAGGACAACTTCTGCACTTGACCTGTTACCCCAGTTCTCCAGAAAACAACTCGGATCCTATCAAATTGTCCTTAATGCCTAATGGTCTGGAAGTGTTTGTGAATTCTCATTTATTAATTTTTCGAAGCTTGGATGCTTGTAATAAAACATATAGTCCTACACTCCCTTATATGTCATCTTAAAACCCAAAAAGCTTTGAAAACAAAGTTTTCTTCTAATTTATTTGACAGGAAATCTGACCTAAACTTTGTGAGGATATTTATAATCTCTGTATATCTCACCTAGTATAAATATTTTTGCATTTCATAGAGAAATATTAGTAAAACAATATTCTAAATAATATAGTGCCTTTCTGAAGCCCTAATATGGATCCAAAAGAAACCATTGAGATGAAGAATTACTTGCAATTATTTCCTGTAATAATACTCTATTTTCTCAGGTGTTTAGGAATTTCTCATTTAGGGATAAACAAATTTCTAATTTTAGGAGTAAGCAAAATTTTCTATTTTTTAAATCATTTATTGTACAGACAATATATACATTATATACTGGGGAACTTGTATTCCTCACTAAGTAAAATATGTAATGTGTTAAGAAAAATTACTCAAAACTTGACAAAAGAAAAAGAAAACACTAGAGAAAATTTTTTCAGTAAATTACTGAGTACTGTTTTGTAGACCCTCTCTGGGTTTATTGATTTCACAGGAGTGTGTAATTTTTATCGACTGTCAATCAGTCTTTTTTACACCTCTTTAAGACTAAAGGTTAATTTGTAGAAAATGGATAAGAATGCAAATGATTCTTTTACTGAAAACAATGCAAACGATTCCTGATGACAAAGCAAATGAGTTTTGTCCAGAAGAGATTCAATTAATTTCCATCCATTAAAAAGCTGATTCCAAATATTACAGGTTGTTGCCATGTATGATATTAACCAGTTTTACATTGAATAGAAAATCACTTCAGAAGCCCTTTGACTGAACACATAAATCTCTGTTCCTCAAGTTCTTTGAATTAGGTGTAGCCTCTTAATTCATGAGTAAAATCTTTGCCACATAGTCATTGTATACTTATATGAGTGTCATGGTATTTAATCTTTTGAGAATTATACTTCATTTTTTTAAAGTTTACTTATTTTGAGAGAATGAGAGAGTGAGCGAGCGAGCATGCAAGAGGGGGGGGCGGGGAGAGGGACAGAGGGAGAGAGAGAATCCCAAGCAGGCTTCTTGCTGTCATCACAGAACCCAGTGTGGGGCTCTGTCTCAGGAATCATAAGATCATGGTTCCAAACCAAAATCAGGAGTCGGATGCTTAACTGATTGAGCCACCCAGGGCGCCCCTGAGAATTATACTTTAAAGAATACTTGCACTAGGGGTCCCTGGGTGGCTCAGTTAAGTGTCTGACACGATCTCAGCTTAAGTCTTGATCTCAGGGTTGTGAGTTCAAGCCCACCTTGGGCTCTATGCTGGCTGTGGAGCTTACTTAAAACAACAACAACAAGGTACTTGCACTATCAGTTGAGTGAAAACATGGATAAATCATAAAGGTAGTATACCACAAATGATCAGTTATCAATATGGATTTGAGGGGCTGTGGTACAGTTTCTCTATGACTCTGTTCTTTTTATTTATCCTGCATTGCTCATACTTACTTAGTAAACAATTCTGCTTTGCATTATGAAGTACCAAGAAAGGAAATACAAATGCACTCGGCACAATCTTCATCCTAGAGAAAAGATTGTTAACAGTCTCGTGTGGGAGAAAGACATGAACAAATCATCATAAAGTAATGATAATAGATGGAGAAGAGAAAAACGTTTAAGCTCTTACTGTGTCCCGGGGCACCTGGGTGGCTCAGTTGGTTAAGCGTCCGACTCTTGATTTTGTCTCAGGTCCTGATCTCATAGTTGACGTGATCGAACCCTGCAACGGACCCTGCACTGACAGCACAAAACCTGTTTGGGATTCTTTCTCCCTCTCTCTCTGGGCACTCCAACTCTCATGCTCTCTTTCAAAATAAATAAAAAACATTAACATGGATGGAACTTGAGAGTGTTATGCTTAGCGAAGTAAGTCAGGCAGAGAAGGACAGATACCATATGTTTGCATGTATAGGAGGATTAGGAGGAACTTAACGGAGGACCATGGGGGAGAAGAAGAGGAAAAATTAGTGGGGGAGAGGGAGGGAGGCAAACCATGAGAGACTCTTGAATGCCGAGAACAAAATGAGGGCAGATGGGGNAAAACCATGAGAGACTCTTGAATGCCGAGAACAAAATGAGGGCAGATGGGGTGGGGGGAGGGGAAGGGGGGTGATGAGCATGGAGGAAGGCACTTGTGGGGATGAGCACTGGGTGTTATATGGAAACCAATTTGACAATAAACTAGTTAAAAAAAACATTTAAAAAAAAACCAAAAAGACCTTATTGTGTCCTGATGCTTTATATTTATTATGATGCTTTATATTATTTCATTAAAACCTAACAATTTGGAGGAATTTTACCCCCAATTTTATAATTGGAGCACGGACAACCAGCTAATTGCTATAATAACCGTGAATAAAAGGTGGGAGAGCCCAAAAGCAATTCTATGTGTTTTAATTCCTGAGACCAAAGCTTTCCCCTCATTTCCCTTGGAAAATCATTTGGTTGACTCTGGACTCAGGCTAAATCCTGACTTCCAAAGCCCCACAGGATGGAACTCTGGCACAGGCCTGGCAAATGAGGTCAAAATATCCCTGCAGGACTTTGGAGTTCTCTCAGGTTTGGAAATAACTGGGATCAGCTCCTTGCTGGTAAGCCACAGATCTGGAAGGTCAGAGAAAAGTACTGTTTGTTTCATTCCTTGAGCTTTCCAGCCTTCAGTGTTCGGTGCTGCCGGGACACCTGGTATTTGAGAGACGGGCAGGAGGTGGCCCTCAGAGTTGTGTCGCACTTGGAAAAGCACCAGAGGTTGGTCTCCCGCCCCCCCCCATCCCCCACAACGCTGAAGAGAGTCACAGAACCTGGAAAGTAAACATGAGCAAATATTGACAGAAGTGAGAGTTGTGGTAAAACCATCTGACCCAAGCCTGCAGTTCAAAGGAACTGGTCAACTGGATTTGCAGGACAGGATCGGGCAATTTCTACAACTAAGTTTTAAAACTGGCAGCCCAGCAGCCACCCCTTTGTGTTTTTGCAAAATCCCTTCCTGTACTAACTTCCTTACAGCTGTTCCTATTTCCTGTGGTGGAATTTTGTTTTTTCCATTCTTCCTAGGGAAGAGAAATCAGTACCACATCTTCTCCAGAAGGGAGGTGGTTGGTATCTTAAGTGGTGTTAGAAGAGCTACTTTGATCAAAACCAGGTGTCTGTGTTGGGTGAATTCCAACACGGGTCAAGCAACTGATCACAAGATGTTTTTGCGGGTTGTGTGCTATCTTGTGGTTGTGTGGCTGATTCCTGCCTCATACGGTGCGTATGCTTAAGGTTAGTTTATAGGATACTTGATATCAGTCTGTGGGTTTTGAAGCATGCTGTCTATGGTTTTAATGAATTTTAAGTTAATGAAATGTATTTCCTTTATTGAAAAATATCAAATGACTTGGCCTAATGCTCTGTACTCAATAGGGGCTTAATAAATATTTAACGATAATTCTGCTCTATGAAGTGGGTGGTTCACTGCTTACTTGCTCTTTCTGTTTTGGGAGCAAAAATACCAACTTCAAAATCTTGAGAGGTCTTACCTGTTATAAACTCCAGAAATGCTATTTGGAAGGGGAATTGTTTCTTTAGGGTCGAACTGAATGTAATTCCTGCTATTCTTTTGAAAACAAAACTTTAAGAATTATTGGGAAGGGAGGGATGTGGATGGACACGGACATGGAAGAGCACAAGAAATCAGAATCAATAATCCAGGAAAAAGACACTCAGATGACTGTCTAATAGGGCTTCCTCACAGCACATGATATGCCAGGTGAATCCGTTTTCTTTTTCTTCTCGACAGAGAGCTGTCCAGAACTTCCCCCGGTGGGAAATAGCATATTTGTTGCAATGAAGGTGGAAGGACAAATTCTGGGGACTTACCTTTGTATCCAGGGCTACCACCTAGTAGGAGAGAAAACCTTTATTTGCAATGCGTCTGGGGAGTGGAATACCACCACTCCCATATGCCAGTGTAAGTTGAACCTTTGTTTTTTTGTACTTCAGGTCTTCTCACTCCATTCTTTCACATCCTACCTCCAGTAGGCCATGTTAAAACTTTATAAGAAAAACAATTCTCAGCCTCTGGGAATCAATGTTTAATGTGCCCCAGGGTGGAACTTCTCTTAGAATGTACACGATCAGCTCCTGCTCAGTATCAATTTAATTAGTTGATTAATCGAATTACCCTCAATCACCCCTGCAGGGAGGAAAAAATTCCCTCTATATATTAAAACTGCCTTTCGGGGGCTGTAATTTGTTTAACATCATACTCCTTAAAAAGTTTTATGTTATAGAAATCTTTCTATATGTACTCATCACCGAGCTTCAACGATTACCAACATGTAATGAATCTTTTTTTCTCTACAATTCTGGTTTGCATTATTATTATTTTGAAGTAAATATGTCATATTTTATTTCATCCATTATATAACTTTTGAACTGGGAGACATTTGTGTTCTCAATTTACAGATGTGATAACTGAGATCTAAGTGATTTGCTCACGTTCACAAAACTCATTTGTGGTGTCTATAGAGACAGAGAATAACTAGTCAATATCCTCGCTGTTATTAGTAGTTTTAGGAATAGTTCGGTTTGCTCTCCTTTATATCTAGAGTAAAGCACACCAAATGTTTATCCTTTATTTACATGACCAAGTTCATCTTCTCTCCTGTTTTTTCAGAGGGGGGGAAGCAAAATGAAACAAAGTACAAACTGATGAGTGTTGTGTATACTTGTGGTGGAAAGGAAAGGAATCACTTACCTCCAACATAGGGCAAAGTATTTTCAGTAACGCTTACCAGGATGATGAACATGCTATTGATCATTTCCAGTTATATGCTTAATTACTTTTAGTAAGTTCAAGTGCCAACTTGAACAACTTTCACTCTTGTGCATGACCAAGACCTTTCCAACCACACTTAGGCCAACCTAGTCTCTTCGCGTCCTGCATCGATATGGTACCAAGAAGGAGTCCCTGTTAAAAAGAGAAGTTTTAGTTCTGATTTCTGTTCTCTCAACGAAGTCTGAGGAAGTCTAGCCTCTGCACTGGTGGACTTCCTCCTGCTCTTTCGGATCACTTCCTGTGTTCTTCCTCAGTGGGCCACTGTCCTGACCCTGTGCTGGTGAATGGTGAACCCAGTTCCTTGGGTCCTGTGAATGTGAATGACAAAATCACTTTTAAGTGCAATGAGAACTATATCCTCATGGGCAGCAACTGGAGTCAGTGCATGGAGAGCCACACGTGGATGCCTCCCTTGCCCATCTGCAAAAGCAGTAAGTATAAGAGACACAAGTGTCAATCCAAAGATACTGATCAGAATGACACCCTAGACATTTGCCACATCCCTGTGATGATGTTTTCCTCTTTTTTTTTTTTTTTTTTTTGTATCTGGGAAGGGTCTGGGATCTTGGAGGCAAAGAAACAAATGGAGCTCACAGAGCCAAAACTCACTGCAAATGATATATTCTAGTGAAACGAAAAGCCTCCAAACAATAGACACTTTTTTCCCCCCTCTCAAGTAGGATTCCTGTCCTATTAAGTCCAACAAAGGATAGTTTGAGGCATCTGGCTTTTTTTGTTTGTTTCATGATAATGACTTAAAGTTCTTATTTGAAAAATACATGAAAACAAGGGGAATGGACCATATCACCCATTGCAAAATTATATAAAATAAGGGTTGAGGGGCACCTGGGTGGCTCATTCAGTTAAGCATCCAACTTCGGCTCAGGTCATGATCTCACCGGTTCTTGAGGTTGAGCTCTGTGTCAGGCTTCGTGCTGACAGCTCAGAGCCTGGAGCCTGCTTTGGATTCTGTGTCTCCCCCTCTCTCTCTGTCCCTCCCCTGGTCACACTCTGTCTCTGTCTCTAAAAAATAAATAAACATTAAAAAAAATTTTAATAAGAGTTGAAAGTACCTCCTTCTAACACAGTAATTCACAGTTTTCAGAGGAAATTAGTTGGAATGTGTTTGTTTCATGACATTTTCTTATGTTTATGCAGACATTTAAAATAAACAAATGCATACACACATATCTACACACATAAATGCTTACAAATATGGGGTTTATGTGTTATTTAAATTGCTTTTATTGACGTAACATCATACATGGGAATCTTTTTCGATCAGTATATGTGGCTCTATCTCCTGCTTTTCTTTATTTGTTTTTTCTATCTCCTAGTATTCCACATCTCTAATATTGATGAACATTTGCTCTATTTCTGTATTTTTGCTATTATAAACAATGCTGAAATGAATGTTATATATGTATACAGATACATATATTGTTATGTCAATGCTATTATTTCTGTAGGATAGATTCCTAGAATGATTGATGGGACATTACTTATTTGTAAAATATACTTAAAAGATCCAAGAGGGACAGCTGGATGGCTCAGTCGGTTAAGCGTCCGACTTCGGCTCAGGTCATGACCTCATGGTTGGTGGGTTCGAGCCCCACATAGGGCTCTGTGCTGACAGCTCAGAGCCTGGAGCCTGTTTCTGATTCTGTGTCTCCCTCTCTCTCTGACCCTCCCCTGCTCACGCTGTTTCTCTCTCTCTCTCTCTCTCTCTCTCTCTCAGAAAAAAAAAGATCCAAGAAATTCTACTAAAAAACTTTATTCTTGGACACAAAATAAATATTGAAAAATCAATAGTATTACTTTCTAATAATTATGGTACGGTGCTCGCTTCACCAGCACATATACTAAAATTGGAACGATACAGAGAAGATTATCATGGCCCCTACGCAGGGAGGACACGTAAATTCGTGACGTGTTCCATATGTTTTGGGCATGGAGGAGGGCACTTGTTGGGATGAACACTGGGTGTTATATGGAAGCCAACTTGACAATAAACTTTGAAAGAAAGACAAAAAATAAATAAATTTAACTAGAATTAAAACATATTATTGGAATAATATCAACTATAAAATGATCATGTGTATTAATATGTTCTAATACTTTAAATATAAATGTAACATAATAATTAATATCAAAATACTTCTGACATTTGAATTGTTTCAATTCAGCATTACAATATACTCACATGAAGAATTCTTGTGGAATTGGCAACTCTATATTATATCTATTTTTTTTCATTTACAATACATCATTTCTTGAAGGTCTGCTCCAAATCTCTAAAGAGTCATTTTTAATCCTCACAGTACATAGCATAAAGAATAGAATTTTTTGCATAGTTTATTTTTTATATTTTGTATGTTTCTTTAGATCTCATCACTTATTTCAGCCATTTTATGATTATTTTCGGCTTTGTGAGTTTTGATCTGGCCGCAGAATTTTTGCTGCAAGTTTTGAACAAACTCTATTACTAATAGAGTTGGAAACAACTAGCTGAAAATGGTCATTATGAAATAGCATCTGAGTTGTATACTCAGCAGTAATGGAATTTGCAAAATGAAGCAGAAACAAAATAAGGAAACAAAACAAAACAAAAAACTAACTTATTCTGGTAAGAAGGTTGGATTTTAAAATAGAAGAGATAATTTTATGTAGTAAATGATTGATGCATTTCTCAAAGTGAAAAACTACTAATTATCCGAATAAAAACATATTTTTTTGTTCTGGATATTAAAATATAATAATAATTATGGTACGAATATTGAAATGTAAAAATAATTCCATTCATGAGACCTATCGGAAAATTTACTGAAGGTCCTAAAATAAGACTTACCTACAAGATATACCATGGTCCTGGATGGATGGACTGATATTACAGTGTAATTCTAACCAGAGTTTCAAATTTAAAGATATGAAACAAAAAGTTAAGTTTAAAAGGGCACATGTAGGGATGAGCACTGGGTGTTATATGGAAACCAACTTGACAATAAACTATTTGTAAAAAAGTATATATAAATAAAATAAATAAAATCTCATTTGGAAAGGTACGTATCTAATGCTACGGATGTATTTATTTAAAGACTTATTTTTGTTAAGACTTAGTTTTTTAGAGCAGTTTTAGATTTGTAATAAAACTGAGGGGAAAGTACAGAGATTTCCCATACACCCCCTACCCCCACATAGGCACAGTCTCCTCCATTATCAACATCAGTCACCAGAATAGTACTTTTTTGTTTTAAAACCAAGGATGAACCAATGTTAATACATCGTATTCACCCCAAATCCATAGTTACCTAAGGACTCGCTCTTGGTGTTATATATTCAGTTTGGACATATATGTAATTATGTATGTCTATCATTATAATATCATACAAAGTCTTTTCACTGCTCTAAAAATCCTCTCTGCTCTATTTATTCGTCTCTCTACTTCCCCCACTCCTCTCTGCCATTGACCTTTTCATTGTTTCCATAGTTTTTCCTTTTCCAGAATGTTATATACTTGGAATCATATAGTATGTAGCCTTTTCAGATTGGCTTTTTTTTTTTTTTTTTTTTACTTAGCAATATGCATTTAAGATTTCTCCATGTCTTTTCAGAGCTTGATAGCTAATTTTCTTTTGTTGTTGAATAATATCCCTTTTCTGGTTGTATCAAGAGTTTATGGACCCATTCACCTCCTGAAGGACATCTTGGTTACTTCCAAGTTTTCACATTTATGAATAAAGCTGCTATAGATATCGGGTGCAGGTGTTTGTGTGGATTTAAGTGTTCAACTCCTTTGGATAAATACCAAAGAGTGCAATTGTTGGATCTCATGGTAAGAGCATATTTGGTTTTGTAAGAAACCATCAAACTGTCTTGCCAAGTGGCTGTGTCATTTTGCATTCCTACCAGCGATGTAGGAGAGGCCGTATTGCTTTACATACTTGTCAGCGTGTGGTGTAGTCAGTCTTCCAGACTTTGGCCATTCTAATGGCTGTATAGCGGTATCTCCTTGTTTTAATTTGCATTTACCAACGACAAATGATGTCAAGCCTCTTGTCATATGCTGATTTTCCATCTGAATATCTTCTTTGCTGAGGTGTCTGTTAAGATTTGGGGCCCAATTTTTATTTTTATTAATTTAATTTAATTTAATTTTTAAATTTCTTTTTTTTTAAATTTTTTTAATTTATTATTTCTAGGAGAGAGAGAGAGAGACAGCGTGAGCAGGGGAGGGTCAGAGAGAGAGGGAGTCACAGACTGAAACAGGCTCCAGGCTCCGAGCTGGCAGTCAGCACAGAGCCCGATGCGGGGCTCGAACCCACGAACGTGAGATCATGACCTAAGTGAAAGTCGGACGCTTAACCGACTAAGCCACCCAGGCGCCCCTAATTTTTAAATTTAAATCCAAGTCAATTAACACATAGTGTCATAATGACTTCAGGAATAGAATTTAGTGATTCATCACTTACATACAATACCCAGTGCTCATCCCCTCAAGTGCCCTCCTTAATGCCCATCACCCATTTAGCCCATCCCCCCTACCCTCCATCCCTCCAGCAACCTTCAGTTCGTTCTCTGTGTTTTAGAATCTCATGGTTTGTCTCCCTCTATGTTTTTATCTTATTTTTGTGAGCCTTCCCTGATATACCTGGCAAATTTTAAGGTTAGACAATTCCAAGATTAACCCCCAAACAGCATTTATATTCCTCAGATTTATGGAAGGATAATGAATATAACTAATAATTATGGAAATGAATATTAAAATTAGATACACATGTTTTCCTGAGCAAATTAGCAAATAAAAAATGATTTCGCCTAATATTCTAGATATGAGGAGCTAGTCACTTATGTCAGTGAGGGAAACAAATTATCATTCTGTCGATGTATTTTGGCGGTAGCTATTAAGATAACAGGCAGTTTTTTTGTTATTTAAATTTTTTTTTAATTTGAGAGAGAGAGAAAGAGTGAGTGGGGGAGAGGGGCAGAGGGAGAGGGAAAGAGAATCCTAAGCAGGCTCCTTGCTCAGCACCGAGATTGACACAGGGCTCGATCCCATGACCCTGGGATTATGACCTGAGCTGAAATCAAGAGATGCTCAACCAAAAGAGTCACTCAGGGACCTCAATAAGCATTTTAAAAGCACAAACTATATATAGCCTCTTTCAAGGAGGTAGGGGTTACTTAAGATATACATATATACTATAGGCAGTTAAATTACAAGTATATAATATCATTATTAGCATGACATACGTTTAAAGAATTTACTTTTTCTGGGCCTTTCCTATTTTACTCTCTTTTCATTGAGTACTTCTCATCCTAGCTTTGAAATGCAGGACCTCTGTATTTTCATGTTAGTTCATTGCCCAATTATAGTGGAAGCTCCTTAGGTCCCCGAGTAAAGCAGATTCTTTTCTGCTTAGGCCCAAGATATGTATCAACTCTTTCAGTCGGAAGCTGTACTCTTACAAGTTACCAGGAGAGACATGTTTGTCCTGGAGTTCCTTAATCAATTCATTGAAATCCTTTTTCCTTTCGTCTATACAGCTTTTGAATCAGTTTTTGATCTTTAAAAAATTATTTTTTAACTGCTCAAAGCAAACATCTGTGTTGCAGAAAAATACGGAAGATAAAAGAAAACATTCAATTACCTATAAAGCTATTACTCAGAAATAACAGAGTACTTTGATATATAATTTTCAGGTTTTTTCCTGCTCATATATGTTGATGCATAAGTATATTTTACAAAAATAGCATTTTATGCTATTATTATAATTACATTTCTCTTTGTATGCATTATTACAATACATAGTATTATATAGTATGTACTATATGAACACATGTTCTTTTATGCTTTGCTACTTTTACTCAACTATTTGTTTTGAAGGCATTGATGTTTCCATAAATATATACCTACATAATTATTCTTAATTTACCCTTTAATCTTGATTATCATGTTTAGACTTATATAATCTCAGAGCTCAAAGGGACTTGAGAGATAATACTATTTAACCTGTTCATCTCATAGGTTTGGGAGGGAACAGAGAAGGATAAAATCATGGTGAGTGAAAGAGCCAGAACCCCAAATTCAGAACATCTAGTACTTTGTCCAACTCTCTTTCCACAATTTTATAGACTCATCTTCTTTCCTCCCATCTATACCCTGCCTTTCTGAAGCTCTCGTGTTGCACAAGAGACGTTCTGTCCCACAGAGAACGTCTGCCTCCATTTGAACTCCCACCATTTATCTCCGCTCTTAGGGAGTTGCTACTCCCACTTCGACCTCTGGTTTAACTTTTTTTTCTTGTGCACTGACAATCTCTACAACTTAAACTTGCTTTCCTCAAATTTATGCCAATCAGAAAGCATTCTGAAATTCCTAATCACTCAGAGAATGAGCAGAGGGAGGAGGTCTCTCTCAGAATAGACATGATTCTTACCAGAAGGAAGTGAATGGAAAATGGGTTCCAAGATCCCACATAGACAGTTAAACTTAAGGGCTGCTGTTAATTGAGCATAATTCATGACTGTCACTCCTGTTCCCTGTTTCTCAGGAGACTGTGGCCCTCCTGGGAACCCAGCTCATGGCTACTTTGAGGGAAGAGATTTCAACTTAGGTTCGACCATTACTTATCACTGTGAAGAGAGGTAAGTATATGCAGCCTTTCATTTTTTTAAAATATTTTTTATATTTATATTTTTTATTTTTTTAATTTATTTTTTTACAAATAGTTTATTGGCAAGTTGGTTTCCATATAACACCCAGTGCTCATCCCCACGAGTGCCCTCCTCCATGCCCATCTCCCCTCTCCCCCCCACACCCATCAGTCCTCAGTTTGTTCTCAGCATTCAAGAATCTCTCATGGTTTGCCTCTCTCCCTTTTCCCCACCATTTCCCCCCTTCTTTTCCCCCATGGTCCTCCGTTAAGTTCCTCCTAATCCTCCTATATGTGCAAACATATGATATTTGTCCTTCTCTGCCTGACTTATTTCGCTCAGCATAACACCCTCAAGGTCCATCCATGTTGCTACACATGGCCAGATTTCATTGTTTCTCATTGCCATGGAGTATTCCATGGTATAGATAAACCACATCTTCTTGATCCATTCATCTGTTGATGGACACTTAGGCTC